CAGATGCCACGGCTCCGAGGCATGAGAACCTGGCTCATCTGGGCAATATGGCGGGCGGAGAACGTCACGGGTTAAGTTCAGGTTTAAGTTCAGGTTTAAAGTTTGGCTGGTGTGAACTCGGGCACTGTGTGCGCGAAGGCAGAGTTTTAGCGAGAACACATGGGCCGTGGGGTCACCCTAAAATCCCAAAAGGAATACGTGGTCAGGGAACAAACCCCGTGCCCCTCCCCCTGAGCCCTGGGACTTAGTCACGCGTAGTTTGCGGTGCTCTCTCCCGAGTCCCACCACGAACCCCAACCCTCTCCAGGGACCTGAGACTCAGAACGAAACATTCCAGGCCTCAGGGTCTACCACTCCTTCAGCTTCCTAGTTTAGGAAAAGCCAGAGCATGGGGCGCCTGGGTGGCTCAGTCGGTTAAGTGTCCGACTTCGGCTCAGGTCATGATCTCACAGTTCGTGGGTTCGAGCCCCGTGTCGGGTTATGTGCTGACGGCTCAGAGCCTGGAGCCTGCTTCGGATCCAGTGCCTTCCTCTCTCTCCCTCCCCTGTTCGCACTCTGTCTCTCAAAAATAAAAAAAAAATAAAAAAAATAAAAAAGGAAAAACCAGAGCACCAGGCCACCCCCTGGTTGCTCCTTAAACAGGGGCAGGCCCTCCTTCCTACTTTCTTCTTCTTCCTCCCACCGCTTTTCCCTCCTCCGCCTTGGCTTTCCTCCCGCCTGCTCCCACCCTCCAGGGAAGGGAGCTCATTCCTCAGGCCACGCCCCTATCCACACTGGCTCCACCTACCTTCCCCTCCCCCTACCCGGACACCCTCCCTGCTCAAATGCATTCATTCATTCATCTGTTCTTTATTACTATTATTATTATTTTAGAGAGAGAGGGAGCATGTGTGAATGGGGTAGGGAGAGAGGGAGAGGGAGAGGGAGAGAGAGAGAGCGAGAGTGAGAGAGAGAGAGAGAGAGAGAGAGAGAGAGGGAGGGAGGTAGGGAGGGAGAGAATCTTAAGCAGGCTCCACATTCAGCACTGAACACAACATGGGGCTCGTTCCCATGACCCTGGGATCAGGACCTGAGCCGAAATCAAGTCAGATGCTCAATCCACTGAGCCCCTCGGTGCCCCACGTTCATCCATTCTATACCCAGGCTAGAAGCTGGGCCTTTGAGGCTCTCGCACAGTCATAGCCAAAGAAATACGGTCCAACAGCCGAAAGCACTTAAAAATTGATCCCAATGTTCTCTCTTAAAGAAAAACAGAGAGTATTGTGTCGGTGCCCGGCTCAGGTCCCTTTTACTAGCTGAGGGAGCCCACCCCACCACTGCAGAGAAGGCTAGACGCTCACAGCTCACGGCTGGCCCCTTCTCCTGAGAATTGCCCTCGGCTAAGCAGGGGCCACCTCTCCCCAGCTGACAGGGGTACGTTGGGCTCCCCATGGGGTCAGGCTGAGGACAGTCTCCACCTGAGACCACATCCTTGCTGAGTTCCTGCCCTGCTCTGTCCTTGAATGTCAATTTAAAAGTGTGCCAAAAGAAGTAACATTTTAGTACCATATTTTTAAAAAGTGAAACTAGGGGGTCCTGGGTGGCTCAGTTGTTTAAGCATTTCTGCTCAGGTCATGATCTCACGGTTTGTGGGACTGATCCCTGCGTCGGTCTCTGCACCAACATCGTGGAGCCTGCCTTGGACTCTCTGTCCCTCTCTCCCTCTCTCTCTGTCCCTCCCCTGTTCACATGCACATGGGCGCGCACTCTCTCTCTCTTTTAAAATAAATAAGCTTTTAAAAAATGAAACTAAAGCATAAAATACATGATGAGCAAAATACCAAAATTTTAAATAAAGATGGAATTCAACTCTAACCGTGCATGACCCGCTTCACTTGCCTCTCCTTGATCCCAACCCTGCCTGACAGCACACCCTCAAGACCTCACATTCACCCAAATCCTTGCCTCAGGCTCTGCTCTAGGAAAACTGACCTAAGACAGATATCCAACTCAGAACCCAGCCCTCTCTCTCTCTCTCCACACACTACCCTGACTCGGAGTCATGCGCTAAACACTCACATGGAAATCATTTCACACTGTCGCCCAAGATGGGCAACTATTATGTGCCAGGTACATTCCCTGCTCTGCGGTCCGGCTCTAGCTGTAACTGCTGGAACCCTCAAGTCCATGCCCAGGGCCCAGCCTCTCTGTTCTTTCCAATCATGTGAACTCAGCCACTCCTATGCCTACCTGGCTTCTCCCTGAGCTCAAAGGAGCCCAAGAGAGCATTAGTTCAGTCGACTCCAATTTTTGGGGGTTCATGAACCGGTTACATTTCCCAAATGGTGAGACTGCCCTAGAGTTCCCACCTTTCTGTGTTTGCCAAGTGAGGGTATTGCAAAATTAAAATTGTCCTTTCCCGCCCCCCCACCATTTCGGAAAACAAACAGTATTTAATGCCGACAAAAATCAGTGGGACAAAGACTCATCTTCCTCAGCTGAAAACATCTTACTTTCTGAAAAATTCATTCTGTTGTCTGCATTCTCCCTCTCTCTCCCTCTCCCTCTCCCTCTCCCTCTTCCTCTCTCTGTCTGTTTGGTAGGAACTTGACCGCATACAGGTTGCGGTGGGCTGAGGTTGTCGATCCCCCTGTTCGACATCAGGGGAAACTGAGGCCCAAAGAGCCGCTCTGTCTTTCCCGTCCAAACCCTGGCCATTGAATGTTTCCCTGAGAGAAACAGGAATGAACCAGGTGCCAGGGAGCTAGGAGACGTGACTTCTAGCCACACTCTGCTCCCAATTTTCCGAGAGCCTACACAGGTCTCTTTCCCTCCCTGAGCCGCGAGCATGTGGCTCTTCCAGGTGACTGTGAACTTGGAAGGTGCCCTCTGGCCCAGCAGCGAAGACTCAGGGCAGAGGCCTCGCCTGCACTCGTGAGCCAGGATGGCCAGAGACACGGGACTTGACACCAGGCTTCTTTCTCTGACATCACGTTTGGGCCTCAGTCTTCTCTTCTGGAAATGAGTTCTCAGAGTCCTTGCCAACTCACAGTTGGCTCACAGACAACAGCACAGGAGCCAAGGGCTGGACCCTCAGCAAAAGCCAAACCACCTGGGGAGAGAGGCTGGCCAAGCGCCCCAGACGAGAGGCGCACACACTATTTCCTTCTAGAGAGAGACCCAGCCCGGGCCGAAGGGCCATGACTCCAGCTGGGGAAGCCTGAAGTCTGTCTTTGTGCGAAACCTTCCCTGTCCACGGCGGAAGGGTCCTTGAGGCCCCAGGCGCCATCTGGACTCTTGGCAGTTTTTCTCTCTGGGAGGTGACAGTCATCAGGGGCGATGCCGTGAAAGGAAGTAGGTCCCTGTAGTCAAGGAAACTACCCCAGCTGTCCAGCCGCAAATGCAGAAGGGTAGCAGCCACAGGCCTCACCAACGTGGCGCCTTTGCAAGTGCTGTGGTTAAAGCTGCCTGGGTTCAAACTCCGGCTCTGCTGCTGACCAGCTGTGCGGCCTTGAGCACGTCACTTAACCTCTCTGTGCTCATTTCCTCACTTAAGCAATGGAGAGATGGGGGTGAAGACTCAACTGTCCATGAGCGTCCCCCTCACACCTGACAATCCATGCGATTTCCACCCCAAATTTCACTGAATGAGCCGCAGAGACAGGAAACCAGAACCCAGATGCAGGTCCTCTCCCTGGAGCCGACCCGAAGGTTTCTGGGGGCCACAGTTTTGTCTTTAAATGTAGGGGAATACTATGGTGCTGAATACAAAATTCCCATGCTTTTTAAAAATATATATATATATAAATAAAGCGTAGGCCCTCAAAATAATCTTGTGTTTTAAAAATAAGCACACAACCTCAAAATAACTCCAGTGAGGGTTCGTTTTTTCCCTGAGGGAAGGAGGGGGCTTCAGGAGATGCTGCAGAGCCTGGTGCCCAGAGTAGGGGGGCGTGGGGTGTGCGCCTCTGCTGTCCGTCCCCTCACTAACATGTATGGGGTGCCTGTGACGTGCTGGGCGCAGGGGGGCTGGGTGCCCAGGGCACGTGTGCTGGACAACTGAGGTTCACTGTTTTTCATAGGGTCTTATCTCAGCCACTCCCGGGGAGAGGAAGCCAAGGAGAACCCAGCCGGCACCTGGGGCTTCAAGGACCCTCCCTTACCTCAGGGTCAGTTCTTGTTTTTGCCCAAAGATGCTCCACTCAACTTCTGGAAGGATTTAGAGCACTGGCTGCAGAAGAATGCAGAGAGGAGGAGCGGAAGGAGGGGGAGGAGGGGGAGGAGAGAGGGGAGAGGAGGGGTGAGCAGTCACAGAGCAGATGGGGCCAGCCAGTCTTGGACCCAGCTCCTCACAGTGGCCTTGCTCTGCACCCCACATCTGGGGACAGAGCCCAGAACCCCATGAGTGCTGGGGCCCCCCCTCGGGAACTGGAGTGTGCACAGATGTCTCCAGCTTTTCCAGAAGACATGGAGGGGAGAGACCCGCTGGCTGCCACCCCTGGAGGAGCCAGATGATGCCCAGAGAAGCCTTTCAGAAGGTTCCAGAAACTCTTCACTGCCCTGGAGCCAGGAGTTCTTTTTATTTTTTTAAGTTTATTTATTTATTTTTGACAGAGAGAGAGAGAGCATGAGCCAGAAAGGCAGAGAGGAGAAGAGAGAGAAAATCCGAAGCAGACTCAAGACCATCAGTGCTGAGCCCGACGTGGGGCTCGATCTCACAAACCCGTGAGATCATGACTTGAGCCGAAACCAAGAATTTGATGCTCAACCAGCCAAACCACCCAGGCATCCCATGGAGCTCTTTTGACCTCACCCCTGTACCCTCTCAATCACCCTTGTGGTGCACCTGGAGTTTTCAAGAACATGGCTGTAAACAAAGTCAGACAACTTGCCCAAAGCCCACCACCGCCCAACACGAGAAAGCAGAAAGGGGCAGAACTTCGCACCAAATCCACCCCATCGCTAGGGACACGGACCGGCTCAGACCGCTAGTGGCAAAACAGCAAACACTTTGTACTTACTGACCCCGGGGCCCCAGAGCTACGCGCACTCCTTGCACGGATCCCCCAACTTCCAGATTCTCGCCTTCAAACAGCCAACTGTGGCAAATACCAGAAATAAATAAATAAATAAATAAATGCAATAAAATGTGCCCTCTCCCACATTTACCTCCCTCCACCCCAAAAACCCTGTGAGGCAATGCCATTCTCGCCCCCATTATACAGATAAGAAACCAAGGTGCAGAGCTGGGAAGTCAAGGAATGTGAAACCAAGAGCATGGACTCCAGAAGCGGCCATGTCCACACCTCCTGCCGCCCCAGACACGCCTCGACCAGGCGTGTGTCCCCCCACGATGGTCCATTGGCACGGCCCCGGCCTCTCGCGGCGCCCCCTCTGATGCCCACACAAGGAAGGAAGGGGAGCCTGAGTGAGAAGACGGTGTTACCAGTTCGGCAAAAGATGACAGGGATACCTGTCCTCGTCCGTGACCCAGGATATGGCCGTGGTAACCAGCTCTGCCCTCGGGCTCTGTGGGAAAGTGACAGGCCGGGGGGCAGGCAGTGTAGACATGGGTGTGCCCAGATTGCAACACTGGTCCCCCAGGCTTCCGGGGCCTGCCCTGTTTCTCTGAGCTCTGCTGAGGTACAGCTTCGTCACGTTAAAAAAAAAAAAAGTCAACCCAGTCTGGGCCACTCCATCTACGATAAAAGGGAGGAGTGGAGAGGCGCGGGTGATGGTGTGAGGAAGTGGGAAACACAAACGTCTGTGTGGAATTGACTCAGTGACTTCCTGTCCTTGGGTCTTTACAGCAGGACCGGCCATGGCCTGCTTACCTCTGGGAAAACCCCTGGCCAATAAGCCCCCCTCACCTTGTGTCCACACCGCCTGAATGTCCGCCAGCCACTGACACTCTCTGCGGACTTCAGCATCGTGTCAGCAAACCCACACGCCCTTAAGCTGTACTCAGCTGCAAACACCTCAGTGGGAAGGAGTTGATTGCTTTGATTTTCAGCGGGACATCTGGATGAGGACAGACTTCTGACAGAATGGGGCATTGGATTAAAAACAAAAGATGCATGAGATAGCCATGGGTGCAATAGGCAGGGTCTGTGGCAGAGGTAAAGCAGGAAAGGCCTAGAAATCCCAGACGAGCAGGAAAGGCCTAGAAATCACAAAAGGGGCCAGGAAAATAGGAATAGCCCTTGTGGTTTACAGTCAAGTGTACGGGCAGGTATAGGATGAGGTGTCGGGAGCCTGTCTCCCTTTGTCAGCAGCTGTGTGACCTTAGGCAGTCGACCAACCTCTCTGAGCCTCATCCTGAACAGGAAAGTATGGCTGCAAACAGGCAGGGGGGTAGGGCAGAAGGGGGCAATGGAAGAATTTGGTCTCATTTCAAAAAGCATTGACCAAGGACCTCCGGGCACCCATCTTGTTTTAAGAGCCCGGAAGTCAAAGGCGCGCCCCCTTGACAGGGACCCACTGAATGCGGGGCCTGGGGTGAGGAGCTTTCTTTATATGGATTATCTCACTTAATCTTCACCCTTTCATTGGCAAATGGGGACACTGAGGCTGAGAGACAGCAGCTAACCAGAACTCAGAGAGAGAGAACCCTGCTGGTCACCAAAGGATTCAGGATTTGAACCCAGGTCCGTCCAACTCCAGACACCAAATTATTACCCTATGTGCCCCATCATGGTGCAAAGATCGCATGTCAAAGGCAAGAGAGGGGGGCTGGCTAGTAAAGACCCGGTAAATTACAGAAGGAAGGAGCTGGCGAGCACACAATCTCTCTCTGGGCCTCAGTTTCACTGGCTGTAAAATGGGACCCTCTGCCCCATCTCCACATTTTCCCAATGAATCTGTGGACCCACAAAACAACCTTAAAGAAGGGATGCAGGACGGGCAGAGGCCTGGCAGGGGCTCAGCGAAGGGAAGCTTCCATCCTCTGTGGGCAGAGGAAATAACACACAAGGCTCTTAGGAGGAGGTGGTGTTGGCTTTCTGGGAAATGCAAGATGCCAGAGCAGGGAGAGGGCCGAGAATGTGGAAGGAGCAGAGCGCCAGGCATCAGAGCAGGGGAGGTGAGAGGCAGCACCCAGCCAGGCTCCGGGAAGCCGCCCGCCCTTCCCTGGGGCCCTGCTCCTGATTTCACCTTCACATCTGAGGTTTCTCCTGGGAGGGGAGGGAACGACTAGAAAAAGAAAGGCCCATTGAGGCCAAATAGGCCTCGAGTCCCCCCAGGAGAAGAGAGGCTGGTGATTCAAGGTCCCCACCCAGTCCTGCCATGTTTTCAGGCCAAGGCAGGAAATGGAGGGGAAGGCTTGGGGCGAAGTGTGACCCTGGCACTGGGCACACTTGGCATTTCTTGGCCCCTCCTGGCTCGGGACTTCCGGCCCCCACGGTTCTGCAGCACCAGGGGCGGACCCCTCACACAAAGCCCACAGTGGTTTTCAGCCCCACCTCCGAGCCACACATGATCTCATGTAAGCCGTACAACACCCCGGTGAGCCTTGTTCTACAGTGAAGGAAACTGAGGCACAGAGCAGCTACGTGAACATCCCCGGGTTTCACAGCCGGCAAGCGGCAGAGGCAGGTTTCAAAACAGGTCCGTGAGCTCGCAGAGTCTCTGCTTTTACCCACCGGGTGGCCGTTCCCTTCTTACTCAAGGGACGCCCTTTTTCTTCGTGACCCAAATCCCTGACAGTTGAAGAGGCCCCTTGTGAGTCAAGTCCCGCCATAAAAGAGACTGCAAATTGCCTGCACTCCCGGAAGGCTATTTTGACGTCAGTCGGCTCTATCTCCCCAGCCGCTGGAAGCCAGTGCCTTCAATGCCCAGCCCGGCTCGGTCTGGCTCGACGGGCTGTGTGGCAAGGTCTCCCCGCAGGAAACGAGTCACAGGCCGACCCCAGCTGCCATCCTGAATCAGCTTTCTTTAGCCCTGGAGGAAACAGCTTGTTTCTCCCAAGCTTTGAGTCTGTCTGGCAGCAAGTCCTGGGCACAGGAGGAGAGGGGACCCATCATTCAGTTAAGAAAGCCACCAGTGCGGAGAATACTGAGCTGCTTCATGGACCAGACAAGCCAGGACAAAGAGCCACAAACCGACATGCCCTCTGCCAAGTCAGAATTTCAAACTCAATTAGTTTGGGGTCGTGTCTGGAATCTGCCATTGTTCAAATGTTTGAGCTTCGGCATGGAGTTCGGAGACAGGGGCCTCAGGACAACAAGATGCTGAAATGCGGCAGCATAGGACCACCCAGAGAACCGGGTGGGACCTTCGGAGACCCTGTGGCGTGTCCAGACTCCCTGAGGCCACGCCCTGCTTCCACCCACCACACCAGACAACCACCCCCCCCCCCCCCCCCACTCATCACGCCTCCCAATCTCTGCTCGCCCTGCTCTCCGCACCTGAAATGTCTTGTATTTCCGGCCAACTTCTGCTCCGGCCAACTGGAGGCCTCCTCCAAAGCCAACTGGTCCCTGGAATGAACTCAAGTCCGCACTTCCTTCTCCAGGCGCTATTCCCTGACTTCCCCTATTAAAGCTACCCACCCCCCCCCCACCGCGATGCTCTCCGCCCCTGTAGTGCTTTGCACACTGAGTGTAGCAGGTAGGCACTAATTTGAGTGTATTTAGCTATATGCTATCGGGGCCCCTGGGCCGCTCAGTCAGTTAAGCGCCTGACCCTTGATTTCAGCTAAGGTCATGGTCTAGGTGTTCGTGAGATGGAGCCCCATGTCCATCTCTGCACTGACAGCACAAAGCCTGCTTGGGATACTCTCTCCCTCACTCTCTGCCCCTCCCCTGCTCTCTGTCTCTGTCTCTGTCTCTGTCTCTCTCTCTCAAAATAAATAAACTTTAAACAAAACAAAACAAAAATACGCTCTCAGTCAAATGGCCAGGGTTCACCTACTTTACTGAGTGGATGACAGATGGAAATGTCATGGGTGCACTGTGCACCCTACCATTAAAGCCAGAATCTGGCCACATGGACATCACTCTGGTTACATACCTGTCTTCCCAGTTGACTGGGAGCCCCCTGTGGGCAGGGCTTGTCTCTCCCTATATCCCACGCTCCCGGCACACAGCAGGTGCTCAATAGATGCTGGTGGGGTGCATGGGGGTTATATCCTGGCTCTCTCACTCCCTTCATGGGCTCCTTTAGACAAGTCCCTCTCACTTTCTAAAGCTTGTTTCCCCATCTGAAAAGTGAAAGCATGGACTGACCTCTCAGGGCCATGGTCTATCTGTTTGTGTCCCCGCCACCCCCCAACCCCCATCCAATGCATATGCAGATGTCCTAACCCCCAGCAGGATCTTATTAGGAGGTGGGGTCTTCAGGAGGTGACGAGTGGGGTCAGTGCTCTCATGAAAGAGACCCCAGAGAGCTCTCTTGTCCCTTCCATGGTGTGCGGACACAGAAAGACGTTGGCGGTGTGGAGGCCAGAGGAGGGCCACACCCAAGGGTGACCGTGGTGGCACCCTGCCCGGGGACTCCCAGACTCCAGAACTGTGAATGACAAGTTCCTCTGTCTGGCAGCCAGACAGTCTCTGGCATTTTGTGACAGCAGCCTCAACAAACCAAGACCCTCAGGAAGGACAAGTGACGATCTCAGATGACCATTGTCATCCATCGAATTGTGAGGTCAAATCTGGTTGATAGACTGTCCTCAGAGCTGGGCCCTGACATCATCCCCTCCCGTACATGCATGTCACTGCCCCGCCCCCATCAAGAAGTGGACTCTATTGCTCTTCCCTTTAGTCAGGGCTGGGCTGGTGACCAACGGAATGTGGCAGAAGCGACGCTGTGCTGACCCCAGGCCTAGGTCCTCAGAGCCCTGCCAGCCTTGGCTTTCACTTTCCAGAGCCTAGGCCTCCAAGTAGAGACGTCCAGATGGGGCTGCCACATGGGGAGAGACAATGGGTCCCAGCAGGATGGGAGGCCATCTTAAGTGGCCCCGCCCTGGTCAACTCCCAGCTGAATATCACCTGTGAGCTACCCAACTTCGTTCCACATGGCTTCCGTGTGGGCCGTCGCTGCCGTCGCTGCAGAACTCTGCCAAGCTACAGAGCTGTGAACAAGTAAGTCACTTCCAGCCACC